TGTGCAGGCTCTGGGTTAGCTGATTTCTCCTTGTCACTAAGCAGCCCATCGCCCTTAGTCAGCTTCCTGAATTCCCATCTTCCTCCAATTCTGCAACTCGGTAAAAAAGAAAAAACAAGTCAAACTCCTCCTCTCACGTGATCCACCTTCCACCGTTCCGATTCCTCCATCCGACTCCGCATTCCTTTTATTGTTTAATCATCCTGGGGCCTTCGCTTCTTCCCCTTCTTCCTGTGGGCCCGGAGGGCGTAGCAGCAGCTGTCACAGATGCCGCCCTGTCACAGCCTGCAGGTTTGCTCTGGATCCCTGAATATATTTAGCTGAGGATAGCCTTAAGCGTGAATCATGGCCTCTAATTCAGACCCAGCCTCTGAGGATGGTCTTCAAGGTAAGAAATTTCTCAAGAGAGGCTGCACACCCGGGTCTTGGCAGTAATTGCCTGTATTTACAAACTCGTGGTAGGTGGTACATTGGTCACATTATTGCAAGTACTAGAGTACTTACTGACCGTGTTTTAGATAGTTGTTCAGTCTTGTTCTGTTTGCCTGTATTTACAAACTCGCGGTAGGTGGTACATTGGTCACGTCATTGTAAGTACTAAGTACTCACTGACCGTGTTTTAGATAGTTGTTCAGGAACAGTAACACACTAAGCCCCCTCACCTGTGTTTCCCTTCCATATCCTTATGACTGGGAATAGGGGTTCAAGTTCACCTTGGAATGAGATTTTTCTGAGCAAAATTGATACAACTTTTACCTGCATATTTTAAGGAACATGCTCTCACGTGTTAAATTTTTATCAAAACTACAGATACAGGAACAAATTCTCTTTGACAAATATTTTTAGATTTGCTTCGTCTGAGAATATTCTCAGGAAAACACTCATGCTTGTTGATGTGTGTGTAAACCTCTGACCAGTAACCGTTGCCATCACGCAGACGGTACAGTCTAACTTGCGCTTTAACTAAAGCCCTGCCCCAATCTTCATTGCAGCTCCAGTATGCTGCTCGGCTCGTTACAACTTAGCAGCCTTGGCATTTTTTGGATTCTTCGTTGTCTATGCGTTACGTGTGAACCTGAGTGTAGCTTTAGTGGACATGGTCGATACGAATTCAACCTTAGCCGATAACAGAACCTCCGAGGAGTGTCCAGAACATTCTACTCCTGTAAAAGTTCTTCATAATCAAACGGTAGGTGCCATTTGGTAAGCAGTCTTAAGTAATCCTAAAATACTTCCAAGTAAAAATATTAAAAGGTCTTTCTTCATCCTCCGGAAACCACAGCCCCTTTCTTTCCGGATACTCCACATATCACTCTCTTTGTGTGTGTTCTCGCAGGAACTGGTTTGACAATAACTTGTAACTACAGCTACTACTGATGTGCTGTGATACCCCTTGATCTGTCTGAGAAGTAACTCTTCAGTTCCCTCTATAAATTTACCATTCTGGAAGAGAATTAGGAAAAACCTATTTTATATATCAGAGAATTAGATTGTTTCAAATGCTACTAAATAGTTTTTATAGACTATATTCTTCATAATACACTATATATAGTATATATTATTTAATATCTGTTTCATTTGTATGGTTTTTGTTGCAGGAGAGTTTACATAATCTCAGCTGCCAGATGAAAAATAAGAACGGGCTAATTTCTGGCAGCGCCTGTGGCTCAAAGGAGTAGGGCGCTGGTCCGATATGCCAGAGGTGGCAGGTTCAAACCCAGCCCCAGCCAGAAAACGCTAAAAGAATGGGCTAATTTCTTAGCACATTCTTTTCTACATTTATACCTGCCTAACCTAAGCTACTTAAGTCATTTTGCCTGCCTCATGTTACAGTGGAATTGTGAGAAATGCCTGTTCATCTTCTTTTAGAATTAAGTTTTAGAAAACTTTAAATGTATAATTTTGATTATCACACGAGGAAACAGCACATGGAGAAGAGGCTGGCATTTTTTAGGATATTTTCATGCATTGTCAGTGCTCATGAAGGCAGGAGAGCACGCCTGGGTGAGTCTTCTCTGCCATTTACAGACAGGAGCACTCATGCAGGGAAGAGGGTCGCTCCCCAAGCGAAATAATGATTTATCAAAAATCTGCATATTTATCTTTAAGGATGTTACTGATTGACATCCCCCCTTTCTTCACTCCAACCTCTGACCTTCAGGGGAAGTACTGCTGGACCACACAAACAGTTCTAGAATTTTGAGCTACAAGTTGGTGCCCTAAGCAAGGGCAGCGGGGCTTGGGAGCTGGCTTTGTACCTTCTTCCTGTGTTGACCTAGCTGCGTCCCTTCATCTGCCTGTGTCAGCAGTAGAGAGAAATCCTGGAATAGATCTTGACAGTGGGCTTGGGTATAGAGCCCCGGTCCACTGAAGATGTCAGACGTTCAGATCAGTCACTCAGCCATCTTTAGTACCTTACCGTGTGCTGCTGCTGATTAAAAGCCAGGCCCTACTTCCATGAGCTTTATGGCCTGGTTTAAATTCCTGCTTTTTTCTTGCTTAAGTGCTTGGTCTGAAATGGGAAATATTGTTATAATTATCATGATAATTATACTGATGTGAATCAGTAACATTGTTAAAGATAAATATGCAGATTTTTGATAAATCATTATTTCACTTAGAGAGCAACCCTCTTCCCTGCATGAGTGCTCCTGTTTGTTACCTGCTGAGGGGTAACAGCAGGAGAACAGGGTCTATCAGGCCTTATGTCAGTGCATTTTCCATTTAATTTTCTCAGATGACACGTCCAACAAGCAATAGAACAAGACTGAAACCCAGGCCCGGCTCCAGATTCTAGCTCACCCACTGCCGCATCCTGTTTGATAACTTTCTGAATGAACCTGTGACTCTTTTATGAGCCTTCTTGGTTGCGGTTATTCCAAAGCATCTACAGCTCAGCCTGTGGTCTCTAATTGCATAAAATAACAAGGCTTCGTGAAGTTTATATGACTTTCAATTCTCTTCCTTTTACTTCTAGAAATCACATGTGTCTGTGTCTCGATGACTCACCCACCTACCAGAAAGTTTGCGTGTTCTTCAGCCCAAAATAGTGGTGTGAAATTCCTTCTACATGTACTTACACGCCACTCAGAAGAAAGAGCTGTTTAGTCAAGGTCTTAAAGGATTTTTTTTCTCCTATTTTTTGTAGGGCAGAAAGTACCAATGGGATGCAGAAACTCAAGGATGGATTCTCGGTTCCTTCTTCTATGGCTACATCATCACGCAAATTCCTGGAGGATACATTGCCGGCAAAATAGGGGGGAAACTGCTGCTAGGACTTGGGATCCTGGGCACTGCTGTCCTCACCCTGTTCACCCCCGTTGCTGCAGATCTGGGGGCTGGAGCTCTCATCGCACTCCGAGCCCTGGAAGGCCTGGGAGAGGTAATTTATTTTCCCTCTTCTGCTTTACTTCTCACCCGTATCACTTTCTCTTCTTAGCAATGCCATTCTTTGGGATGACCGTAAACCAAAAATTAACATTGGTTGATAACAGGGATTTATTTTTTAATCTGAGAAGGGACTGACTAGAAAATAACCTGACCAGATTTGTTTGTGGTCAGTGAGGTCTTGATTGGAAAGTGTTACTCAAAAACTAAAGAAAATATTTTTTCCAGGGGAGACTTCGTAGCTCAAACTTTAGGAAAGAAGAAATGAAAGCACTATTAAATGTTTAAGATAGGTCATCCCTACCTCCTGAGCTTTTGATAGTTTTTCTGTGCTCTATCATTGAGTCTCAGATCTAAAAGGCGTTTTACACAACAGACCGTTGAATTGCTCTCTTTTGCTTTCCAATTTGTCGTTATTCATGGAAACTCCTCTTTATCATTTGC